TTGTCTGATGGGTTTAGTTTTAATGTTGTTATGACCGCTTTGTTATATAATTAAGCAATTAATATTGATTTATAAAAACAATTAAGCGACAGTCTTGTATTTCAGCTATTTTCTTATGCAAGATTTTAATTTTTTTTTTTACCAACATATCTGAGCTAATTACTTACTTAAGCGCAAAAAATGATGTTCAGACAATAATATTTTAATACTGTTTCAAGCTAATTAGGACTTGAATAAGACAGCAACTTACAATGAAAAAAAAGGGGAATATTAAATGCGTTCTGCTACATATTCTCTAAAATTCCTTTACTATTTAATTGTGTGCGACCAAAGCATACTAATTAATGTCACTAATATAGCTTATATAATTATTTCGAAACTATTAATAATATTTTAATAATATAATAGTTAATAAACTATTAACTATTAATAAATTCTGTTATAATTTTAAATTAAATAAATTTTTGTTTCCGATTCCGAATTCCATTCACTTTTGAGGAAATTAATTTACTAAAGGCATTTCGAGAAAAATTAATTTGGTTTCAAAAGTGTTTGTATTCCCATTTCGTTAGACTAACAACTTTTTAAAGTGTAGTTCCATATGTACAAAGTACCAATAGATTTATATAAAGTATAAATAATTAAATAAGACTAAATTCTTAGTTTAAGCTGTATTTGTATTTTTCTATAAGTTAAGTTGAAGTTGTTGTAAATAATAACAGTATATATAACAGTATATATATATATATATATATATATATATATATATATATATATATATATATATATATATATATATATATATATATATATATATATACATAATTTATTTTGTAAATGTAAAACTTTAATTATACTGTTATTATTTACAACAACTTCAACTTTATATATATATATATATATATATAGATTTGTAAAATCTAGCTATTGAATTCGGAAGAGAGAATCGAACACTAGTTCGGTGTTTGTTTTAATGCGAGAATATTGTTTTAAGTGTAGATTCTTTTTTCAGTGATAGTAGCTTAGGTGTCGTATCATATTACAGTATATACTCGTATAATACATAATAGTGTTTGGGAAATATGTGCCTGCTTTGACAAGATGTGCAGCATTGATGGCTTCAATGTGATTCCCACTTTCGTGGCTCGACTCCGCCCCAAACACTCACTAACATGGCTGCCATGGCATCAAAGTCAAACGCATGGGTATGGGTCTGGGTATCCAAAAAATGGGAAAGAAAACAAAAAGGGACAACATGGCTGAAGTGCAACGAAAAAACTAGACATGACAGAGCAACTACAATGGAGCTTGGCAGAGGACGGCAACAGGCAACAGGCAGCTCGGAAAATGAAGAAACGAAAACAAGAGGCTGAGTGAAAGGCTGGCAGGCTTGCAGGCAGGCAGCCGAACGGATTTGAAGCGACATACAGACAGACTGACAGACAGACAGACAGATAGATGGACAGACAGACAGACAGACAGAGTGATGGAGTGGTAGGTAGGATGTTGATGATGATGGTGATGGTGATGACGGGGGCATCTCTGGATATATGTGTGGATAAAAAAAAGAGAGAGTGCACGCGTGTGGCAACATAAATGTCAAGCAATGAAAATGTTTGCTCGGCCATGCCTTAAACAAAATGTTTCTGTGTTGCTGCTGCCACGGCTCCAGCTGCTGCTGCTCTACCTTGTTAGCTGTTGTGTAGATTTCGGACAGGCAGCATCAGCTTCAGCCCCAGCTCCTGGCCTCCTCCTCCTCCACATCCTCCTCCTCCTGTTCCAGCTTCTGCTCCAACCCCAGATATGAATGCTAAGCGAAGCGTGCAGCATACACGAACTGCAGTCCCCTGCCACCTTCAACTCCCGGCTTTATGGCATTCCAGGAGCGCTGCCAGAAATGAAAACATATTTTCCATGCGAGTGCACAAGGCGGCGGCGCAACACACACACACAAGGCACACACAAGGCACACACAATGAACACAGTTGGCTGGCTCACATATCTGCCAGTTATCCCGACTTGCCTTTGCCTCATGGATATGTTTGCTGCGTGCCTTTTTGTTAATCCCTTTCGAAAATTTTTAGTTTGATTGTTGCCCGTGGCATCATAACTTGCACAAGGCACACGCACATTAGCATACTCGTGGAGCACGGTTCTGAGCACGCTACGGCCGTGGAATGTGGCAAGGGGAACGAACGCTTTACGAAGAATGCCAACGGTATCTTCTGTGAAGCGGCAGCGAAGACAAACTGTATAACACACAGTTTAGCACTTAGGATACTATACGCCTGTTCGCTCTGATTGTCGTCCGCATTATAATCGAATCAGCTAAATAAATTAAGAATAGACACTCTAGAGTCTTATGCCCATTCACAAAAGGGTTTGGATGCCTTCTTCTCCACTGAGTCGCCTTTTCTCCTGCCATCTCTTGCATGTGTATCGGTTTCTGATATTCATTCATTTATGGATCTCGAATTGGAAAATGTGTTGGTGATGCTGCGAAAAAAAACTCTGCAGTCTGACCGCAGCTTGAAGCCAATTGGTTATGTGAGCTCAAGGATGATGTGGGAAGAGGAAGAGTTGGAAAGTGTAATGTTTTTTGCCCAAAATCTCATCATATATCACTACAAATACGCTCTAAAAAAGGAATTGTTCGTGGGATAAATACAACCACTAGAAGCTACACAAATTGTTTGTCACTTTCACGAAATTTGATCTTTTTAAAATTTTATATATAATTTTTACATTTTTAGCATCATATCTATTTTAAATTTTTATTTAAATATATTGCTCAAGGTCTTATAACTATTTGTCGGTTCTCGTATTGTCGATGAAATGTATATACAAGTACAAGTATATACATATTAGGATTGATTTGTCTTTCTAATGCTAAAATAATTTCCTTGTCTAATCATACTTGATTGGTTACAGAGCCATTTCTAAATCGGGTTTTGATAATGCTTGGAAAAGCACATAGGTTATAGAGCCTTTTCTAAATTGTATTTTTTTTTTTTTTTTGAGAAGCACATACATTTTTTTTATTTTATTTTTTGAATTTTAAAAAGCCATTTGTTTCGTTATTTAAATTGTTGGGAACAAGGCTTATACATTTTTGTACGACTTCTTAGCAACGTGAAAAGTCTAAGGACATCGCAAAGACCGAATCAGTTTTCTTCTTTATGTTAAAAATTTTATTTGCGAAATTTGATGATACGACATCAATACGATTGCTTTCAGAAACAAAAAATGCCATTGAAGAACACAAGACAACACTCTCAAAGAAATAATTCAAAAATAAATTATTAATAATACGATAATTTATGTTAAAAACTGCAGAGGTCAGAAGCAAGTTGCCTTTAAATACAAAATACTTGTATAGAAAAATTACAAAATTTAAATAACTAGAAGTAGAAAACCAAGAAACTAGAAAAAATTGAAATAACTGGAACACGAATGTGGCCTCACAATTATGTTTTAAAATGTTAACTACGAGTAGGAATTAGTTGAAATGTAATAAATAAAATGAAATTCAAAATAACTAACAAAAATTGAAAACGACTAAATAAAGCAAAAATATGGTGAGATGTCGCACGAAAAGAGTGTGCTGCTTGGCTGTTATCGGCACTAAATTCCATAGATTTTAACAACACTTGTTATCGGAATGAAAAGTGCAGTTCTTGTAGAGCAGAAAAAAATGTTTGTTATTTACACTAATATGTATGTATGAGTTTTAAAAAAATAGGTTTCTTATACTCTTCTACTTGACCAAATTTGAAACAAGAAAAAAAATATCGATAATTTTTATTTAAATGCAATGTAGCCTCAACAATTGAATGTGAGAAGAGCTGGCAGCAACATAAGGCAGCTATTTACTACGGAATCGGGAATTCATTTCTGGGTGTCAATTGATAGTTCGGACACATAATTACTAACGGGATGTAATTACCAAATTTGAAATTTTTAAAATTCTAAGAACTATGGGAATATTTTAAAATCGTGAATAGCGGAGGAGTGGGGGAGTGCATCAAAGAAAATTAACAAACTTGATGTGCCTAGCGCTTAGGGGAACCTGGATATCCAGTTTGGTAATTCTAGCTCTTGTATCTTCTGAAATCCTCTCGTTCATACAGACGGACATGGCTATATCGGCTCGTCTTGTCACACTGATCAAGAACATATATACTTTTGGGGGTCTGCCACGCCTCCTCCACGCCTGTATGGGTTACATACGTTCGCACTAAACTAGGGTTCAGGTATAGATATAGGGTTCAACAGGGTATAAAAGCGGAGAGATTCACTTTGACGTAATCGCTTAAAACGCTGAAAATTTAACAGTATCTCAAATAAAATGCACATTTTATAATTGCCTCCAGTCTGTGGGTATTCAGTCCGTTTTCGTAGCGTACAACCAATATTGCCTCCATGCTATCCCGTCCCTGTCTCTGCCCCAGCTCCTCCTGCCCTGCCTTTGCCCCTGCCGCTGTACATGCCCCCAGTTGGATGTAATGGGTGTCCGTAGAGTCAGCTCAATGACATTGATTGGCTTTTTTACCGTGTTTTGCATTTCATTTCGGTCGCTGCCACGCGCTTTACGCACTGCCAGCAATTAAATTTTTCGCCCTTCTTACATCTGCCATTTGTTGTCTCCGTTTACAGCAAGCGGCTGCCACCACAATGTGCTCCACCAACTGCTTTCAGTGGTGGTGCCATGGCTCTGGCTGTCGCTCTGCCTCTGGCTCTCGCTCTGACTCTGACTGTGGTGCGGCGACAGAACTCGTTACTGTCACGCCCTGTTGGCGCTCGGACATGACAAAGGTTGACATTTTGCCTGCATTTATTAAAACAACTGCCACTAGGATGTGAAGCGTGTAAACAAAACCGCCCCCCGGCCTCCCCATTTACCTATTTCGGCCAGCTTTTGAAACGAGCTGCAAAATGTTAAAGCCTTCATTTATTGTAACACTTTTTTTCAATCTGCTCCCGCTTCGTTTTCATTGCAGTTTATTGGCAACAATAATGGTCAGCACAACATTGACAACATTGGCTGCTGGACAAACAACTAGTAGCAGTATTCATCATCATCATCAGCAGCATCAGCAGCAGCAGCAGCAGCAACATCAGCAGCAGCAACAACAGCAGCAGCAACAGTTACCGCCGCACCATACAACCGCCAGTCAGCGACTGCAGCAGCAACAGCATCAGCAACAGCAACAAGCACACTCAGCATCCACAGCACAAGCAGCAGCCGCCGCAGCAGCAGTAACGCAACAGCGCAGCAGTTTCTACAGCAGCGCCAATCGCTCAGCAGACAGTCAGAGCGCTCTGAATGGTTTGGGCCTAGACAGCAGTGCCTGCGACAACAGCGGCTATCAGCAACATTACCAGCAACAACAGCAGCGTGCCACACCCTCCACAGTAAATTTATCGCAATCGTTGCTCTCACCCTCGCCACCGCTCAACGATCAGATCAGCCTGCTCTTTCCCAAGTGTCGTCCCAAACAGACGCAGCATCAACAACAGCAACAGCAACAGCATCAGCATCAGCAATCGCTAAGCAACAGCCTCGCACGCCAACATGAGGTTAGCGCCGACATCAATCTGAACAACAACAACAATAACAGCAGCAGCAGCAGCACAGCGGAGCCGGAGCAGTGCAACGGTCTGCCCGCAGCCACGCCCAGTTACTATAAGAGTGTTAACATCATAACACAATCGCCGCCGCCCCACTCGGCCTCATCACACTCCTCGGAATCGCTGTCTTCAGTCACGCCGCGCATCTCAACGAATCCGTTTCTGAGTGCGCCGCTGACACCACCGCCGACAACCACCACCACATCTACATCCATGCACAACGGTGCTTTCAATACGGACATCAATCTAGAAGCCGTTGCTTTGAGCGACGCTGACGTTGACGCACAGCACGAACTGGACTTGGACAACTTGGTGGAGGACGAAGAGGAGGAGGACGAGGAGGAGGTGCCACAAACAGCATATCCAGCCTCATTCTACTACCACACAGGGGATAGCAGACGCGGCCATAACTACACAGCAGAAATGCCACGAAAACGCAGCAACGCCGGCATCGGCAACAGCTACAAGCAGCAACAACAGCAGCAACAACAACAGCAGCAACAACAGCAGCAGCAGCAGCAACATGCTTTGCTGAATGGCAACAGCAATGGCAGTGGCCAAAACCAGAATCCCTTCATGAAGGAGAACTATTGGGAGGCAGCAGCGGCAAGTCGCAACAGCAGTGCGCTTCTCCACTCGCCCACTGATTACACCGACGAGCAACAACAACAACAACAACAACAGCAGCAACAGCAACAGCATTTGCACGCCTCAGCCCGACGCGCCTTTCATCAGCAACAATCGGTGGCACCACAACTATATAGCATGACGCGTCAGCCCCCACCATCGCAGCCGCCCCACATCATACGCGTAGGTCGGAGTCCGGTCAATCGAAGCGATCGTAGCGGCCTCTTCGCCCCACAGCAACAGCAACAGCAGCAGGCCAGCAGCAACCCCTGCGCCGAGGGGCTGACCCCTCTCGCTAGTCACTATCTATATGGCAGCAAGACCTCGCTTGATCAACAACAACAACAGCAACCACAGTCACATGCCGGTGACTGGGAACCGCTGCGGGAGCAACGCAAAATGCGTCTGCGCGAAGAACGGGATAGAGAGCGGGAGCGGGAGAGGGACAGAGAACGCGACCATTTGCTTTTGGAGCAACATCAGCAACTGCAGGATGTGCAGGCGGCACGTGATAGTCAACAGTTGGGTCAACAGTTAGGTGGGAGTCAGCAGCGCAAGCGCCACAGCGCTCCCGGACATAACGAGGAGCGAGATCGTCGCCTAGTCAACGGCAGTCTAAGCGATGCCAGCGTCTTAGGCTCCTATGTGTCAACAGACATTGGCGAAAGCTGGCAGAGTAAGTACAAAAGAGAATACAACAAGTATATATAATATACTTAGCATATCGCGTATATAGCCGAAAATTCAAAGATTAGCAGCCCGCACGTGCAAGAGAGCAGTTCCCTTGTCCCTTTATATACAAAGGCATAGGGGGTTTCCCTCTAGGGTAGAGGCCTTTTTCCTTCGGACAGAAGATTCATTTTGTAAGGCTGTCAGAAGATGCTTAACTAAGAGCCAAGCCTGGTCTGGTCTTCCACAGTCCAGTTCTGCCCTACAGTCAACAATTCGGCAAAGCCATTAAAAAACACAATTTTTTTTTTAATTCCTTTTTACTCCACTTGAGAGCTTAGGGAACATTTGTTCCATCTAACTCTCTATTTCTAGCCGTCTGTCTGTCTTGGCTGTATCCCATGTGGTGTTATTTCTGGGTAATTCCTGAAGCGTAGTCCGCCGCCAGGTTGTCGTCTTTTATGTCTGCCGACTCGTCTGCTTTCTTGCGGCTGTTCCTCCAGTCTAGCGCCATCCTTAACATCGGCATCGAAATGGAGTCGTTTGTTCTTGTTTAAGTTTCCATAATCATGTTGTTGTCAGTCGACCTGGTGATTGGCCAGATGCGACTTGTCCCACCTGTCGCCGCCGGGGAGCGGCGTCTTGGGGGGGTTATACTATTGTTTTGTCCAGATAGCGTGGATGGATGTGGTCTTTGGTGGATAACTGACCACGACGTTGACGGCATGTATTTAGGAGAGTTTTTCGAGAGGAGAAATTTCTAGGCCATGCTCTCGCCATGAGTGGTGTTCGCATCCACGACCTCTTGTTTGGCCAACGAGGCTACCTGAAAACAAAATGGAGCTGAGCGTAAAGCTGGCTTTGAAACAATCCTAAAAACAATGGCTCTTAAAGCTGGAGTTGGATTCAAACATTGTTTGCCAGTGCCATTGGCCTTTTGGATTTTCCAACTGTCGCATCAGCTGCGAAACTTTGAGCCGCGGGCTTTCAAGCGTTGCGCATTGCATCGAACCAACCGAAAGCTACAGAATCCACTCCCTTCCTTCTTTTTCCCCCTGAAGCCGACCACAAAAGTATGCAACGCTTTGCAAGTGTGTCGGTGCGTTTGTCTGTGTCGATTTATTGTATGAAGGGCTTTCAGTTAAAGACCGGCTGGCTGGCTGACTGGCTGGCTGATTGACTGAGTGGCTGCTTTGACTATTCCGCCAATATAGCCAGCCGGGTGGTGGTCTGATGGCCTGCAACATTTCACAGCAACACAGAGGCAGAGCTATTTGCCAAACATGTCTGTCGGGTCGGGCAGGTTCACATGCGTCAGGGCACAACCTTCAATTGGGGGCGCCCTATTGAATGAATAGCTGGGTAATTGAATTGCAAATCATGCGTAATGAAGTGTACTGCAAATATAAACGCGCATTAAACAGACACAACAATGAGAGGCGGACCATGGTCTCGGCCCAGCCCTGGCAATGGCATCTGATGCACAAAGCGTAGGAAGTGAGCCAAAATGGAATTTAATTGATTGCAATTAATTGGCATGCCAGGCCTAGTGCTGCAGAGCGCACAACAGATATCAGCACAATACAACACCCATTCCCTTTCGACATCTGCAGATCTGCGCGTCACAACCGAGCCAAGTGTGGCGGCAACAGCCACGCCAATGGCGTCCAACGATGACAACAGCAAGCCGTCTAAGCTAAGCGACAAGCCGCAGGCCATGCTGGAGCCGCTCACCCGTCGCCAGCTCGACGAGGCTGGCGCAGCCATCTACCGCGAGCACAAAGCCACTGTGAGTGCCTGGCAGCTGGAGCGCAACTACACGCTGGCCGTGGAATCCCGACATGGCATTATAGGTAAGAGCACTCGTAGACCAGAATTTCTGACTCTCAACCCAATTCTCACATTGCTTGCAGAGTACGAGGGCTCGCCGCGCCGCATTGGCGCCTCTGCCAGCAGCGCTGGCACTATGGAGGAGACCGAACCGATGCCAGCAGCAACCACAGTAGCAGCGGCCACACAGCAACCACCCACGGCAGCGGTGCCGCCCATGACGAATACGGCCAGCACTCTACAGAAGTCAGCAGCACGTGCGGCACTGGCAGCGCTCTCCCAGCAGCCACAGGCGTATCCTGTGCGTCCCGGCTTTCCGCAGGTGAATATCTCGCCTCCACTTGCAAATACACTCCTTTTATCCTAATCGCTTACCTATTTTTTTGCAGCGCATAATATCGCCACCACGTGAGGTGCGCAGCAACTCGCCGCAGCAGCAGCAGCAGCAGCAGCACAACAACCACAATAACAACAATTGCAGCAGCAACCACAGCAACAACCACAATAAGACGCAGCAGCAGCAGCAGCAGCAACCGCATGCCCTCGTCTCGCTGCGCCAACAACAACAAACACCCAGCGACAACAATGCCGAAGATACCAGCAACGATGTCTCCGAAATAGGTACCATATCCGATTTGACAACTCCTGAAGCAGTGGCGGTGGCCACCTCCACCTCCACAGCCACACCAGCCAGCGATGTGCTAGGCAGTTCACCACCACCTCCAAATATGGTGGTTGTGGCGGCAGCAGCGGCGGCAGCGGCTGCAACACCAACAGCACCACCGAACTGCAGTAATACGAATGCTTTGGGCAGCGCCTCCGGTCTCGGTCTGCACACCAAGTCATCGACTTTCGACTACTTGTACGAGTTCTCGGAGACGCGCAAGGTATTGGAGGAGTTCTTCAAGTGTCCGTCGAACGATGAGCAACCCATTATAGAAAATGGCAGCGATGTGGATAGCATTGTTAGTACTAGTTGTTAACATTCTTCGCTTACGTAAGCGCTGGAAATGACCAATTTTTTCCCCCTCTTCCCCCTAGGACATCCAGTATGAGTTCCACAGCAACTTTGATCGCGACGAGGAAGAGCTGGAGGAGGAGCCAGAGGAGGATGACGAAGATGGGGAGGCAGAGGATGAAGAGGAGGCAGTTGGACAGGAATATCACCAATCGGCAACTGAGCGACATACCTATACGCCCTACACCGGATATGCACAGTCGAAGCCGCCACAGCAGCAGACACCAGCGGTGGCATTGCAGCACAACAACTACAACAACAGCCAGCAGCAGCAGCAGCAACAACAACAACAGCAGCAGCAGCGTCGACACTATAGTGGCAGTCCGCTTATGCGGGACTTTGACTTCTTCCTTGACTCGGCCAGTCGCAGCAGCGGCGAACAGCAAGGCGAGCAGGATGGACTCAATCACAACCAGCAGCTGAGCGGCGGCAGCGGCAGCGGTGCCGGTCTGGGCATGGCTGGTGGCCACAATTATCGCTACTCACCGGAGACCACCGACTACGATTCGAATTGCGGCGACTTGGATAGTAAGTATTGAGGAGGGGATTGATTAATGGTCTCCCCCCTTCATGTACCGTGCACCTCAACGATGAGAGAGTCTGCTAGGAACTCCAAACGAATGATAGAGATAGCAGGCGGAGTAGGCAAAGCAATGTACAGTGAAAACTCCCTTAATGGCCACCTCTTTTATCCGGACACTCTCTTCGACACTTCTCACTTTTTCTAAAACATTCGATCGCTGTATCAAGTATTTAAGTATCCTCTTAAGCGGACACTCCCCTTGGGCGGGTGTGACCGTCCGGCTAAGAGAGTTTTCACTGTAGTCCTATCTGCCTGTCTATTCGACGTCTATTCAGCCCTCAAGAACCTCAAATACAGATACACAGTCTTGTCTTATCTACACACTTGCCGTGTATATTAATATTAGTTTTTTTTTTCATTTGCAGGCCTCTCTGGCGAAATAAATGGCGGCGTATCCACTTCGTGCTCGAATTACGCCAAGTACTATGCGTCGGCCATGCCCGTGCTGGAGGATGGTCTCTCCTCGGGACACACATCCGACACAGAGAACAACAATAACAAGAACTTGCAACAGGCATCGATATCCGGTGCAGGCATGGGCACGGGATCAGGTACGGGGGCCACATCGTCGTTGGCTCAGCAGCAAACAAGTTCCAGCAACAGCATTGGCGGCGGCATATCTATGCTGATGGACATGAAGCGCATCTCCACCAACAACAGTCTCAACAGCATGCACAACCTGACGACGTCCACAACAGACAGTAATGGTGCCAGCGGCACTGGCGGCCTCATTGGTGGCGGTGGCATGTCCCCGCAGCTGCTGCATGATGTTGGCGCTGGCGGCATTGGCGTCGGCAGCTATTTGTGCAGCCAAGCAAGTCCCAGTCCCAGCAATGGGCTGAACAGCAACAGCAAGCATCTGCAGCAGGTGCCGCCATCAATGCCGCAGCCACGGGAGCTGCTCGGCCAAAGTCCCAGCAATAATAGCAACAGCAAAGTGTTCAAGAATATCGATCCGGATCTGGACTCGCTCTACTCCATCAGTAAGTGGCAGGGATTTGATTTGATTTGATATAGAGAGTAAATTTTATTTCCGTTCTGTAGGCGTTTTCCATCGGCCGGACATGGTGCAAATGACGCCACCGCCGCCCGCACCTGCGCCGCATCGCAAGCCCAATAGCAGCGCCGACGTGGATCTGTTGCAAACGAGCAAGCATTTGGGCACAGGAGGCGGCAACTCGCACACACCACTGGCCACGGCCATTAGCTCCACACTGCAACGCAACTCGCCCACCGCCGGAGTCGCCAAGGTAGCGGCACCCTCGAAGCCGCGCAGCGCCGGCAGCAATTGTTCCAGTGGCGCTGGTGGACCGCCCCCCATTCCCGAGCGCAACAGCATGCTGCCACCGCAGCGCTCCCCATCGCCTGTGATGAACTCGCCCGTGTGGCTGTCACGTCATCTGGACGGCGCCAGCAAGGCACTGCTCGAATCCTCGTCGGACAACCACTCCAAGAATCTCAGTGCCGACGAAGATGATGTGGACACTGACTTGGAGACGGACCGCCTGCTCGGCCATCAGCGTCTCGACGATCAGGGCTATTATGATGAAAACAAGTCCTGGGAGCGCAAGCCGCGCAGTTCTCTTCTCTCAAAAATCTCGCCCAAGCAGCAACAGATGCCCAGCACCAAAACGCGCAACGGCTACAATGCACTGCTCAGCTCCACACCAGAGCTGCCGCCGCCCATACCACCCAAGATTGGTTCCAATGGCACCGGCAGCTTGTCCAGTGGCGGCAAATTACTTGATCTGGGCGGCAGCAATGGCGTGACGGGGGCACAGCGAAGCGTTTCACGTAGTTCTTCCGAGCACAGCGACAAGTCACCCATGAAGACAAACAGTAGTGGTGGCGGTGGCGGTGGCAGTGGTGCTGGTGGTGGTGGTGGTGTTGTCGGTGTTGGAGGTATTGGTGGTGCTGGTCATGAATGTGGTGTCGATGTAGTGGCTGTTTCAGTCGCTCCACTGCCTGCACTTGGCAGTCCCGTCGGCTCTGAGGGCTCTGGCTGCATCAAGAGCAGTAGCGGTGGTGGCATTGGTGGTGGTGGTGGTGGCGTCATCGGCATGAGCGGCACAAAACTGGAGCTGGAGAGCAATGGTCTCAATGGCGGCAATGGGAGCAATGTGGGCGTGCCACAGACCAGCAATGCAGTTACAAACAATGCGGGCAATGGTGTGGGCAGCGGTGGCGGTGGTGGAGGCGGCGGTTCCAACAGCAGCGGGGCTGGCAGCAATAGCAACAGTGGCGAGAAAAAAGTGAAAAAGAGTAAGAATAAAGAAGGTAAATGCGTTGGGTTTATCCTTCGTTCGCATTGTTCGCAATTTTAGTGGCCAGCTGATTATTTACATAAATGTTGACGTTGTTGTTATTGTCGTCGTCGTTGTTGTTGTTCTTGTCGTTGTTGTTTTTCTTGGTTTTGCTACTCCTCGTAGCTTATATACTTAGTGTATACAATACATACTTATGTAACAAATTTGATGTTTACTCTACGTATACGTAATATACTACTTATATTGTACATGAGTTTATTTTTCTGTTGAAAAAAAAACGTAGCATACCTTTGGGCGCCGCCAAAATAAGTAAAAAGTAAACTAAAACGAAACAACGCCAAACAAAAACAGCAGCGTTTGCAAAGAAACCAAAAAAAAAAACCACAATAATAATAATATATATACATATATCTGAATATAGCGATATATGTATATATATATACTATATGTATAAATTTTTATTTGTTGCAGGCATTGTAATTAAAATAATAATAATTATTGATATACATATTTATAACCATATATAAAATTTTCTATTCTTTCGCATTTTTTTTTCTATTTGTGTTTTATGCATGCGTCGTTCGTTCTACGTTCCAAATTGCGTTAAACTCTGCTCTTCATTTTACTGTGTCTGTGTGTGTGTGTGTAAAACTGTGTAAACTGCAACCCAACTTAAAATAAAACCAATATATACTCAAATACTTTGTAAGATAAAATGCCATTATGTACTAGCAACTAAGTTTTAACAAAGTTACAACAACAACAACAAACAATACAAACACTTACACTTGACCAAAATATTCACACACACAGACACTCACACACATACATATACACAAAGTATTGTATATACATACACACATACATAAACACTATACATACATACATATAACTCGCAAATTTGTCAAATAACTTGCGCATTATCTAATCGATTTTTCTCTTTCGCTGCCCCCTCCCCCAACCCTGAACCGCCAACACAACTATAAACCAACGAACCACTATGTATCCCCACCACTCAGGCGGCGCAGTGCTCATCGAAGGCGTGCTATTTCGCGCCAAATACTTGGGCTCCACACAGCTGGTCTGTGAGGGGCAGCCCACAAAATCGACGCGCATGATGCAGGCTGAGGAAGCCGTCTCTCGCATTAAGGTACAATCCTACGTTCAACTTGAACGATCAACTATTGATTTCAATTTTGCCCCTTTCATTTTTTGTAGTAAGTATGTACTATATTTTGTTTGTTTAAGCGATTGGCTATAACCTGCAATCATTTAAACGACCGCCAGGATCTTTTGATGAAGCGCATATGATATGGTGAATCAAAAAAAAAAAAAAAGGCTTTCAATCGCCAATCTCTCTCAATTTCACAATAAATTCAATTCATTTTCTGCAAGGAAATTGTTGTGATTTCCTATATAACATTGTGATATTCCTTAAATACTATATAATTACATAATTTGTGGAAGAAAGATTATGCAATTGAAATGTAATCCCCTTTGCACGAGTATCGGTTATTTTTCTTCCATTAATATTGTCAACTTCTTCAACACATAGTAAGTTTTAGTTCTCTTTCAATGTTACAATGGATAGCAAGCGACCTTTTTATTGTAAATAATATTGTAATTATAAATAAGTCTCTAAGTACAGCTGCTGACTTAATCCGCAAAAGATTTTTTGTGCACGGAAATCGACTGTTTAATAATATTTTAGATTCAATTTCAACTAGATACTTTCAATTTCATTTCAATTGAAACCAACTTAGCAATGGGCAGCAATCGATTGTTTTTCTTTTATTCATTTCGTAAACTTCTTTGCTTTACTTAATCCGCAGAAGATTTACTGTGCACGAAAAACGGCCATTTAATAATATTTTAGATTCAATTTTAATTAGACACTTTCAATTTCATTTCAATTAAAACCAACTCAACAATGGGCAGCAATCGATTGTTTTTCTTTCGTAAACTGCTTTGACTTCCTTCGAGAAACATTTATTTCAATAAATGAGCTAGATTTTTAATGTTGAGAAATGCTTTGAATTCAATTTCGACTAGTTAGTCAATTTTCTCCAACTCGAACCACTCCTTGCAGTCGTTATGTGCGCTCATCAACTGCCTAGCATTGCATTCATTGACTAAAAAAAAATTTGGCCTGTTTTCAACCTAGTTGTACTTAGACCTATTAATTTTTCAGTTGATACTATCCTTCGTAATTAGTTAGAAGAATATGGACGCAACGGAAACCGAATATCATTAACTCTCTATATTTTCATGCATCAATTTGTTTCCATGATTTGCTACACACATCACCTCAACAACAACTCAACTTCAACTATTTCTACTGCTACGTGGATGAATAATTCGCTAATTAATAAAATTAAAAAAAATATATATTTTAAAAAAATCCCAAAATCGCACACAAAAATCAAAAACTAATCAATTTATTCGCATTTCGTAGGCCCTGGTAAGTAAACGCAATATTAGCTGCATTTTCTATGTGTAATACTCGCCGAGTAAAAACCTTAAACTTAACTTTGTCCTGATTTGCCCAATTGAAGACATACTGCCGTGTATTACTTTTCAGTTATGCCCGAAACGTTTTCATTTTGGTTTCATTTCATTTCTTATGCGACGCTTGCCAAAAGAAAACATACATATATCCAATACATATAGTCATACACCCATAGTTGCCAACATAATGCCAATAATAATAGAAAACATCGACGCCAATTTACAGGCTCCCGACGGAGATGTACAGCCCAGCACCGAGGTGGACCTGTTCATATCGACGGAGAAGATAATGGTGCTAAATACTGATCTCAAAGAGATAATGATGGACCATGCCCTGCGCACCATCTCCTATATAGCTGATATTGGAGATCTGGTGGTGTTAATGGCGCGCCGTCGATTCGTGCCCCAGGATATTGACGATGCGCCCAAACCGAATCGCACACCCAAAATGATTTGCCACGTATTCGAGAGCGACGAGGCACAGTTCATAGCCCAGTCAATTGGCCAGGCATTCCAGGTGGCCTACATGGAGTTTCTGAAGGCCAACGGCATTGAGGACCATCGCTTCGTTAAGGAAATGGACTATCAGGAGGTGCTCAATAGCCAGGAAATATTCGGCGACGAGCTAGAGATCTTTGCTAAAAAGGAACTACAAAAAGAGGTCGTTGTTCCCAAGGCCAAGGGTGAGATACTGGGCGTTGTTATTGTCGAGAGCGGCTGGGGCTCTATGCTGCCCACCGTTGTCATTGCGAACCTGATGAGCTCGGGCGCGGCAGCCCGTTGCGGTCAATTGAATATTGGGGATCAGTTAATTGCCATCAATGGACTCAGTTTGGTCGGCCTGCCCCTATCCACGTGCCAGACATATATCAAGAACACCAAAAATCAGACAGTCGTCAAGTTTACGGTAGTGCCCTGTGCCCCTGTCGTGGAAGTGAAGATCAAGCGGCCGGAGACCAAATACCAGTTGGGATTCAGTGTCCAGAATGGAGTGGTAAGTCTTTTTGGTTCCATGTTTTTGTTGTTTATTACAGTGTATATGTATAGAAACAAATGTCGGTCAAATTCCTTCCTGCTACAAGGGAATATCACTTTATATATATTTTACATATTTTGTCGAATTTGTTGACTGTCAAGTAAAATTGAAAGGCCATTAACTGCTAGACTTTTGCTTTTGGTAAAGCAGTCTTAAGCCATCTGAGTTTCTCCGTCTGTCCGTCTCTCTGTCTCTCTCTCTTTCTTTCTCTCTGTCTTTCTTTTAAAAGTTATGATCGAGAGCAGTGTTGCCAATTTGGCACTTTTCGAATCAAATCTGTTTTTTTTTTTTAAAAAAAATTGCGGGAAAATATTCGAAGTTATAGGAAGCGATAATCCCGGCTTTTTTAAATGATTATAAAGAAACCCTTGAGAAATCCATTTCCTTTCTGTGCAGAACTGTTGTAGCTTCTATCCTTTCTTTAAAATCTGCAATGACAGACACACTAGCTGGCCTTCGATAGGTTAACCTGAAGGTTAAAGTGTAAGAGAAGAAGTCTAAATATGTGTAAGGGATAAAGCAAAGAAAAGCATGAATTTATAAGTTCAAGTATGAGGGGCATGAGAATGTACATTTAAATGGAAACCTGTTAGCTAACAAATATTTAAAGATACATAACTGGAATGTTCAGTACAAATTATAGTTATGTTGAAACTGTTTGTGTTTTTCTTATGCTTTAATTTCCCTCCTAAATCAGATATTTGTAGAAACATTTGCGGATCAATGCAAATATTGTTTAAATGGCGCACACCTGTTGACAGCTTCTTTCTCTCCTGACACTCTGTTTAATCAGCAGAGTATACGAATATATGGAGTGACTGTATTATTGAGAGAGAATATATTGAGAGCTGTAGGGATTGGATGCTAGTATATACACGGAAGTGTATATAACGAGTGGTCGTTCATTTCCCAGAGACCTACAGCCTTTTAAATTGGTCCTGAACATAGAATAGCGAATTGCGTTAGCAGTCTTCTAGCCTTGAGACTGCATTGAGAGTGCATTGACTATTAACATAATATTCTCTACATCACTGCAACAAACGTAGAGCTCATAAGAACACTGGTGCCACTTGGTGTTGAGTTCCTGTCCCTCCATATCCTCTCACTAACCGCTTCTGTTACTGTGTCTTCATTTTTCAGATCTGCAGTCTACTGCGTGGTGGTATTGCGGAGCGCGGTGGCGTGCGTGTGGGTCATCGGATTATTGAGATTAATAACCAGAGCGTGGTGGCCGTACCACACGAGAAGATCGTCAATTTGTTGGCCACATCTGTGGGCGAGGTGAGCGAGATCTCGCACAGTTTGTCATTTTCCATATGGACTGTTAATATCTTATTTGTATTGTTATTGTTCAGATACTCATGAAAACGATGCCGACTTCGATGTTCCGTTTGCTGACTGGCCAGGAGAATCCCATTTATATATAAGCGATGAAATGTTTGGGCCATCAGCGATCCCTGTTTGTGTAAACTTAAGCAACATTATTGTTAACTACAACTTATATGCAGGTTAAATATACATATATATATATATATATATATATATATATATATATATATATATATATATATATATATACATATATGTATGAGTGTATAGTTCTAGTTGGATGACGCTGATATATATATACATAGATGTTATGGTATAGTGATTACATTTTTTTTGTTTTTTTTTTCTCCGTGACTTAACTAGAAAAAAGTTAGCGAATAGAAAGGAGTTTCAAGGAGTGGATGCGATTACAGACAACTAACTGCGTAAACTTTTTGTTCCAAAAATCAAAACCAACAACAGCAAACAGCAACAACAATATAAGAAAAGGAAACACGCCTTTATGCAAAGCTTAGAATATGTATTTAATAGTTAATGTATAATTATCGATATAGTATGAGAAACGATAATTGATGATGATGATTGACGTTGATTGGCGGCGTATGTAAACACAATGACCTTTTTGCGAAAACGTCCTTAGCTTAGTTGAACGGCGCGACGAAAATACGAAGTGCATAGATTCCTAGTTACAAACACATGTCCCCATATATATGGTATACATATATATATATATATATATACATATATAAAAATACATATATACATACATACATATGTGTATACAGAAATATCTGCTAATATACATAGTTACATGTACTTAGAGCCACACATTCAATGCAAATTCAATGCATACTTGTATGTATGTGTAATTCAAAGTGCAGCACAACCCACAAGTCCTGCCAGATGATATGCGATGCTTTCTCTTCTTTTATATACATACATATACTTACTTATATAGTATAGCTAAAAGCCAATATCAGCAAACACAGCCACATACATCTATAGAACTAAATACATACATGCATACTACGAGTATATAGTATATATAGTCATAACTTGACAAACTATATAGTTCAGTATCGTACATAAGCGCTAATTGTCGTGTAATTGTAAAGCTGAACCGAAACTGTTAGAAAAATGTGTGCATTTCTTCTTTTTTTTTTGTCTCTATAAAACATATAGTCTACTGACGATACTAAGATACTTTTTGATGCTTTCTAACAAGCATTGCAATATAAATTATTGTTTATTCTCCATGGCATTGATATTGATCATTTAAAACTATTCCTATTAGTCGCTTCAGTGCCAGTCTAAGTGAGCAGAAATTATGAAAAATAATTGAAATATCAAACTAGCCTTCTTCAGTTGGGCTGCCTTCTCAGTTCTATTTGGCACTTCCATAAACACTGGAGTCTCTCTTTTAATCTTTTCGCCATGAAAAGGTGTATTTTTTCTTCCTTCATTGCATCCCCAGCCGGTTCAGTGTAAACTAATAATCAGTCAGGGCTTCTTTATAGTTAATATACATAGGCACACAAACACACACAGACAGACACACACATGCTCTTAGACGGCACGACAGGCTGCACTAAAACACGAGCACAGATTCGAATAAGAATGCACGCAATACTTCAATATGACGACTATTTAGCATAAGTATGCATTCATATAGAAAACAGTTCTCTCTCACACACACACACATACACAATCACACACACTTGAAGACCCAAACGCTTCTATTTAAACCATCTTCGTCCAAAAAATTGTGCTACTACTCGTTAAAAACAAAAAAAAAAAAGGAAAAAACAAAACAATGCAAAAAATGTTGAGCCAGAAACGGAAAAAGGGAAACCAGAAATAATAAAAATGCAAATGGCATGCATTTCAAATGAACTCACACACCCACTCACACACACATAGATATATAAATGGCATGTGTGCATACATACATAGATATATAAATATACATATATAGTATATAGTACATACATATGTACGTTAGGTTGCATTTCTGTGTAATATACTCGCTTGGCAGCATATCTAGAGGATAAGAGAATTATCGACAGAACATAACTAAAAACCGACAAAGTATAGTCTCTTTCGGCAGATCTCTGCTTTGAAATTAATAATGAAATTGATATTGATATTGAAATATTGTGAAATATTCGAGCTCATCAAGAAAGAACCACAATTCGCAAGCGGAGGCTTCGTTCCAATTCAAAGTTACATAAATAACGCCAATGCTTCTAATAATATTTAAAACAAATAAAAATATAAGGAAAACGAAAACCGAATGCAACAAATAAATTTAACAAAAACAAAAGCATATATAAATATATATATATATAAATACTTTTTTTTTTGTGGTGTACATTATTTATACATATATATACATACTATATATATATACTATACATGCAATGGAAAAACCAAATATGAAACAGAAACCAATATATGAAAATTATTGATTAATGAATTGCATAGAAACTATATAAGAATGATAATTACATACTACGACGATTCTGATGCTGATTCCGATCAAGATTATAATGAAGATTATATGTAAATGCGAGTTAAATGAACAGAAGATATATAACATACGAGTATACATATACATACATATAATCACATGCGTAACAGATTCGATATATTGTGCATACATATATGCATACATATGTATGTATATATGTATATACATATATATCTATAGCGTATACACATATATATTGCATGTATATATGTACATATGTGTATGTATACACATACAAATGCATATATACACATATATTATATATATATATATATAGTATACAACAAAAATTGAGAGCATAATAAAGACAAATAAATAAAAATTTGAAATGTGTATTAAAACAAAACAATAAGTATTGAAGTGTTTTTGTACGGGGAGGCTACAAGTATTAATAAAGGTTTGTCCAAAGTATGAAGCCACTCCGACATTATACATACAGACATAGTCAAATGTATTTATACAGAGAGCACATTCCACTAAAGTAGCTATTTTTTATTGGAAATAGGTAGCTCGTTCTAAAAATAACTATGAGAAGCAAATTAAAGAAGAATTGAAAAGGATAAAATAAAAATAGCAGCTAATGAACTGGATTTGGGGATCCGCTCTCGATATAAGGCACTTAAAATGAACCCTATTTAAAAGACCATGTTTTTGCGTCAGAAACATAAACCAATGACTGGCTTCTGCAATACAATAAGGTTCCATGTCATCAAGGATGTGTAACTCCACAATTTTCAAGAGATTTAAGTCAGTATGTATTCCTACTCATGACTAGACTACTTCCCAGGCGATACGCGGGGCTTCGCTTTGATGCTCAAGGCACGTACATACTGCAATCAGGAGGATTGCTTTCCACCAAATGTAAACGTAAAAGCAACCAATAAATTATTCAAACTGTCATAGAAAAAGGGCTCGTAAAATACAAAATAAATAGTTACATAAATAGAAAAAAGAAAATTAGCGTTAAAAATAAACAGAAAAGTTACATATTTCTGGTAAAATTCATAATGTCTTTCCAGAGACTGTTGCTGATAGGCCAACCATACTACTAAAAACAATAGAAAAAACCGTTTAAAATCACATTGAAAATATTTAAAAGAAATGACTAAATAAAACAAAAATATTGTGAGATGTTTACCGCTTGGCACTGTCTAACGAAATGAGCTCGAGCGTGCTATTTATAGGGTTTTGGTTATGCTCTTCGGTGGTTATCGGCACTAAATTCCATACAACTTGCCAACACTTTGCAGTGTTGCTTTATCGATTAAGCCAGTGCTGTTGTGCGGGCTGGTTTTGAAATAAATAACAGTGTACACCTAATTCTGTTTTTACACGGTGGATTGGTTTCAGAGACAACCGTGTTAAAAGACATTGATCATATGCAAAAATAGGTGATTGGTTCCTTATCTCTAAAGTAATATTCATTTCAAACCGTGTTATATCAAAATCGTGTAAAAAATACCGTGTATCTGAATCATGTAGATATTAAATGTTCACTCGTATATCAAGTTGCAAAATATCTCTGAAGAATAAACATGGTTCGAGCAACCCAAATTCGTAGGAATCAGATGGAGGAACTCGAAAAGATTGGCTCAGGCAACTGAGGCTTGTATGTTTTGTAAAGTTCTTAGAACACTATAGTTGTTCAGCCATTTCAGAGCCCAACAAGCTACAATTACACATGTATATCGTCTACAAGCAGGAAGAGCAATTACAGAGACTAAAGACAAGTCATGGAATACTATAGATTAACATGTTTTTGATGCAAATAAATAAAAATAATAAAATTTTTGAAGGATTAAACAATGCCCGTCTTTGCTGCGCTAATTATTTTGGCTTACCATCATAGATTTAGATTAGATTATACAATTCCTCTTCCCAAATTGTGCTCATTTTCAGACAAATTTCTATAGGAACTTCACAGTAACAAATTACTGAAAACTGGAGCATATACATACATACATATGTATTCAAAAATAAAGCATATACATGCATACATATACAATATATAAAACAATTAAAAAGTAAGATTATGTATACACACAAACATAATCTTACTTTTTAATTTTCCTTAAATTTTATTTCCTTTGTTTTTTTTAGGGCGACACTTTGTCTCTCCAACTATTACGGTATTGAGGAAAGAGAAAGCACGCGCTATTTGTGCTCATAATGTACGGTAAATACAACGTCAAAACAACGTAAACACAAACGAACATAGTAGTGAATACATACAAACATATGTACATGAATTGATCCTACAGAGCACACACTGGAAACGACTGAGCAAGAGCGAGAGCACTCAATACTCAAAGCACCGCTAAAATTCGGTGATGGTTTTCGGTCTCACATGTTTCTTGTATTCGCCAATCGCTAAATACAAAAATGAGTAAAAGGGACAGCGAAAAGTCTTATTGTGATTGCATTGAGCTAAGAAAGTATAAAAAGGCAGCGAGCACACCGCGTCCTTTCTTGCGGTGTTTTCGAGAGAGAGAGTGGTATGAAAAAAAAAACAAATATGTACATACATACATACAAAACGTTTTACTTATTGTTGCGGCGGACCGCTGCAGGTCTTTCTTATAAACAAATACATGGATGTACATACATTTGTATGTATTTATGTATATATGTTAATGCGCGCAAT